AAAAAGGTACAAAACGAGGCGGTACGGTGGCCGAGAGTTCTAATCCCTTCTTCGTCTACTGTCTTGGTCCCGCCCAGCCTACACTTCCCGGGATTCAGTGCGCACTCTTCCGCTCTACCCCTGCGGCTCCCGATCTCTCCACCACTCCCCTGGTGGGGTGGGGGAGGCTGTCTATTGCGCCTGCGCCAACCCGTGGCTTACTGGGAACTGAAGTTCCGGAGGATCTTGCAATCCCCTTTCCGCTGCCCCTGCACAAACTACAAATCCCTTGGTGCACTGCGCGGCGGAGCCGGCGGGGCGGGGGAGAAGGGAGGGAGGAGAGAGGAGGAGGAGGAGGAGGAGGGAGCAGGCGGCCGGCGGTGCGGGGGGAGGGGGCCCGGTCCGGGAGTGCGGGAGGCAGTGGTAGAGGGAGGTGGCGGTAGCGGACTGGAGTCTCAACCGCGCCAAGGCGGACACTTCGGCGAAGCGAGGCAGTCGGAACACGGAGCGCCCAAGGCAGCACCGGGAATCCCGGCTTCGAGGAGGGGGTCGGCGGACCGGGTGGAGGGGAGGGGGCGATGCTGGAAGCCATGGCGGAGCCCAGTCCCGAAGGTAAGCCGCTCCGTAGGCACCGAGGGCGGGGAGCGGGTGAGGATTTAATTGGCAAAGTTGGAGGTCGAGCCCCGGCACCCAGCGGGGGAGTGCGGGAAAAGGGGTCGGGGGCCTGGCTCTGGAGCTGGGCGAGCGGCGAGTTGAGATACCTTGGAGAAAGAGGAGCGGGAGCCTGGGTCGGGAGAGTTGGACATCGGGCGCGGTGTGGACGGCCGTGCCGGGGTGTCCGGGGCTGGGCGCTGGCAACCCAGCCTCGGGGGCTAGGGGCTGAACAGGCCGCGGACTGCCCGGCGCCCCGCGGCCGAGAGGCTGGGGGCGATCGGATGGCTGGAGAGTAGTTGGGAGAGCTCGACGGGGACTGAGTGAGGGGCCCGGGAGTTGGCCGAGGTGGGGGAGTTGGTGACGGTGGCGCTGGAGCGCCCAGGAGTTGCCGCCAGAGATGGCTTGGTGATTGTTAGAGGGGTGGGCAGGTAGTTGTGGGGAGCGCCGAGAGTCGGGGTATTGTCTCCGGGAGAGCCCGATCCGGAGGGCCGGCTGTGGGGCCGGAGGGCCGGGGAGCGGGGCTAGCCCGGTACTTGTAGGGGCGGCGGGGCGAGGTGTGGGGGGTTAAGACCGGCAACTTGCGCGGCGGGAGGGGGGGGTTGGTCGGCCGGCCGGCCAGGGCCGGAGCTTGCGAGTTGTTGGAGCGTATTGGGGGGCAGCGGCGGCGGCGGCGGCCGGGGGGCTGCCGTGGAGAGTCTGGATGGGGACCCGGGGCTGGAGTGGAGGGGTCCGTAGCCTCGGGACTCGCTGAGTACGGGGGCGGGAAGGGGGGCGGCCGGGGAAGCTCGGAACTGGGCCCGGGGGCCCGGCGGGGAGCCCGGAGAGCTCGAGACGGGGAGGGGCCAAAGCCCCGGATGGGGGCGGAGGGACAGCGAAATTGTGGGGAGCGCGGCGGCGGCGGCGGCGGCGGCCGTGGGGGGGCAGGTGGGGCTGTGTCCGGGCTGCCGCTCGCCGCCCGTCCCGGACGCGAAGTCATGTTGGGAGTGTGTGCCCGCCCGTGTGTGGTTCGGGTCGGGGACAGGGGCGCGCCCGGCCTCGTGTTGGAGGAGAAGCGGCCGGAGGGCGGGGAGCAGGTCAGCGTGGTCATCCCGGAGCCCGGGGGCGGCCCGGCGGGCGGGCTGGAGGGCGGGCG